ACAGCTGAAACTAATTCTAAAAAATGTGTATTTCACAATAAAAAATAATTTAAGAATTAAAAAAATAAAATAAAATTTTGAAATAAAAAAAAGAAGTAACAGCAACTCTTTCTATAAATGTAACAAATTCTGAAAAACTACCTCTCAGTTTCTTACTACTCGTATATCCATTAAACATCAGATTCCTGCTATCAGGGAAGAAGAAGCAGTGAGTAACAACAGAATCCACATAAAAGGAAGGGAGAAAGGCTTAGTATGTTGGCAGGTTGTAACATGTGCTTCAGTGGGAATGTAGGCTACAGCCCTTTGAAATGATTAGCTGTTAATAATTGTTCACAGCTCTTCAGCTGCTCTAGTCTACAATCGCTTGGCGCTATAGACTTCAAAACATTCTTAAAGCATTACTAGAACCTTGGCTCCTTTTCCATAAGAAATAACCTAAATAAAAAATAGAAATGGTGGTGTTCTGACTGAAGTGGGCACATGGAGCCCCTCAAGCGCTTCTGGCAAGTTCTAGGAACATGTCTTGAAATTTCTGTTTCGTGGGGTTATTTCTGAGTAAAATAATAACTAAGGCTAGAGATTACCATTCAGAGTACAGAAGTAGGGAGAACACCATGTTGTAAATTATTCTCCTGCTGCAGAGGCAAGGAACATAATATTCTTCCAAGAACTGGCTCTCATTCTGAGACTTGGTTTTCCTACTTCTGCCATATAGCATAGGCTCGTTTCTGCCATAAATCTGCTTAATTTAGTTACAAAAGGGCCAGTGGGCAATATGGTGAAAATTACGCAGGCCCAGATATTGAAGCTGATGGGCTGACTCTGACCCATTCATTCATTCATTCATTCATTCATTCATTCATTCATTCATTCATCCATCCATCCATCATATATTTATGGAGCCTTTTTGTGGACCCAGGACTGGTTTAGATGCTGGGGACATAATATTAACCAGGACCTCGTGTGTGCCTTTCACAGTCTGGGTGAGAGGGGGTCTAGAGGCGTGAACCAGCAGGGGGGTTCTGCGTGGGCTATCTGGTACCCCGTGTTGGATACGGTTCTCTGTTGGGGACACAGGGAAGGCCTGGAACGCTTTCCAGAGGAAACGGCGGCGTATAAGCCAAGACCTGAAAGACAGCAGGAGTTAACTGGCAGAGGTTGGGGCTGGGGCTGGCTGGGAAAATGGAGCCAAGCGCGCAAAGCCAAGATATGGAGAAGAGCCAGAGTAGAGAAGGGAGCATGTTGGACAGTAAGCAGGGGCAGAGGATGCTGGCGGGCCTCGAAGCCATTGGAAGGAGCTCTGACTTTCTCCCCCCAGGGCTAGCGAAGCCATCACAGGGTCCTAAGGAGGACACTGACATGGTCTGTTGTGCTCCTGGCTGGCAGGCTCCATGACCTTGGACAATGTATAGTCCCTGTTTTCTCATCAGTGCCTGAGTGATTTATCCCTGAAGTCGTTTGCTGCTCTGACCCTGGCACCCTTTCCGCAGTGAGGGCTTGCGGCCCCCAGCCCTTTAGTGGGGCTCGCTGTAAACTGGACGTTCTCACGGGGCCCTGGGCCTCCGGTCAGCGCGACTTCTGAAAGGAAGAGGTCGAAGCGACCTTGCTCAACGTGGAGCCAGACGAAGGACGGCCCGGAGGTGGGGCTTTGGGGCGTTCAGAAGGAGAGGCGACCAGCCGCTGGCCCAGGAATCGGAGCGCGCTGGAAGCGCCCGGAGCGCGGCTCCTAAGCTGCCTCCTGGTTGGGGATCCTTCTCAAACCCCCAGCGGCAACCGCAGCTCATGCTTCTTATCGCGTCTCTGGGGCCTCAGAGGAAGGCTGCCCGGCCCGGATGGCCGAAATCCGCCCATTGTTCCCTCCGGGGACAGAAGCAACGACGCTCTAGGAAGGCGGCCGACAACAGCCCCCGCCGCCCCAGCCGCCGGAAACGGGGGGCGGACACGGGGCCAGCGGCGGCCTCAGGTCTGCGCAGTCGCGGGACGAGCTTGCCGGAGGAAGACCAGGCGAGGTCTGCGGCCCGCGGGTGCTCTCTCGTGGAAGTCGGGTGCCATGGCACGGCCGCTGCCACCCGGCCGCCCGCGGGTGCTGGCGGGGAGGGGACTGGCACACACAACCCCGGGAGCCCAGCCAAGCTCTGTGTTTTTCCAGGTCCGCGCAGGGCGGGGGAAGGGGGGGGGACCCTGCCTGTTGTCGGTGGGAATGGATTACTGGAAATTAGACGGAAGGTACCCTGCACATCGGCATGTACTGTATTGTTTGGGAGTTAACAGACTGTAAAGTAAATGTCAGGTGATAGCAGTGCTGGGAATCACCGCCCCCTCCTCCTGGCCTTGGCTGCTTGCTCCCTGACCTTGAGCCAGGCACTGCGGGCCAAACAGCTCTGTTGCTCAGGGAAAGGAGGCCGCAGAGGAGTCAAGACTTTGAAGTAAGAGCGAGCCCCGCCCAGCTTACAGATTCCACCCCTAGGGTCTGTAAACATCACCTTCTCCTGTGCCCGCCCCAAAAGGCATAATATTCATTGACTAGTAACATTTCTAGAGAGGAAAGCTCCCAGCAAGGCAGGGGTGAGGGTGGAAAGGTCGCTGAGGACCCACCTAGCCAAAACAGTGTCTTAAGGGCAACCCCAACCATGGAAGATTTAACTGAGGAGAGTGGATCCCACAGAGGAATGCGAATTATGTGCCCTAGGTTAGGGGACCACACCACACACAGTTCTCTTTAAATTCATCCTCACTAGCTGGGTGTGTGGAATCCTCCCCTAATTTCTGATTCTGAGTTGCCGTTGCTCTTGGGTCCCACCCTGTCCTTATCTCAAGCAGCCACTTTGGAATGTTTCTTCTTTTCTGGGATATAAAGATGAGTCATGAAAGTCGTCACTGGCCTCTGCCCCTGTGCGATTCCACCTGTGTTGCCAGGGCTGCTGCTGAGAATGACTTCTTTAGGATGTCCACCCCTCTTCATGCTGTCCCAGCTCCCGACTCCGTCCCATTGATCGGTGTCATCCTGTGCCATCAGAGTGGCTTTTCCTGCCTGGATTTTGGGTGGGAGGAGAGCAATTTCAGGAATGAAGGTATGAATTGACAAAGGTCTTGCCACTTTTGCAGAAGACATTGGAGAATACGTGCCTTCTCTAGCCTCTGGACATTCACCCTGGCTGCAGATCCTGGGGTTTTACTGTGTAACCCCACCACACCTGTTCTGCATAGGTTATCAAAGCAGTTTGTGATGGAGGTTACTGTAAGGATTTGCTGTGGAAGAAGATGTCAGAACATGGGTCTGGAAGGCTTACAGTGTGGACTTTGTATGGTGACACCCATGTTCTATGTTCTTCAAGAAATGTCTAGACTGGGTGACCTCCTTGGAGATCTGGCACAAAGCCCTCATCACACATATGGACAGATTGAGACCCAGAGAGAGGAAGTAACTGGCCCAGGTCATTCAGCAAGCTGGTGGCCAAGCCAGAATTAGATCTTAGATCTCCTGACACCCAGTTCATTCATGTATTGCAAACATTTCTTGAGGACCTGCTATATGCCAGGTGCTATGCTAGGTGCTGGGGACATAGCTGTGGACAAAACCAAGTACCTGCATAGACCTATATCCTCTGTGTGTATGTAGGGAGAGTATGGATAAAGAAGTAAAAACAAATATCCCATAATGCCATCATTTAGAAGTGCTATGAGCTCTGTGCTCCTGTTCCTTTGTTTTTGGAGGGAAGGGTTTGAGGCTTCGGAGGAGATGCTAACGCCCATATTTACTCATTAAGTAAATATCAGTGATGCCTCACTGTGTTGGGTCTTACATGGAATACACACATATGAGAGCAGGACCTGCCTTTAAAAGCTTGTCACTCAAGTGGCAGACAAGACATGCATCTTAGTATCACCTTTAGATGTATGTCTGTAATTCTTATGCTCCTGGCTTTCCTCTCCCGATCACTTCCAAAAAGGAGGCTTGTAGAAAACTCCCGATTCTGAAATGGTACACATCCCTTCTCCCAAAGGCATCTCAGATCCAGTCACTGCTACTGACTTATTGATGGACGTAGTCCAGTGGCCTTGGGGAGGTGATGGGCAGCCCTGGGTCCTGCCCTGTGATAAGGAGAGACAGCCCAGCATCCACCCTGCTGTGCATAATAGGACAAAAGCTGCTGGTGTCTGCAGGATCAAAGCACAGGAACAAGAGTGTCTCTGGATTAAATAGACCAGCAGAGCAGGTGGTGGACGCCACAGACTTTCTGGAAGGGAAATCTGGGCTGGGGGGGGGGGGAACCTTCAGCTGGAGAAAGAATTTCTGTGCCTTACACATGCTCTCCTGTGGCTCCTTCTGTACCTCCCCTGGATGGGGGGCTCTTCCCTCCATCCTCCCTCTCCATCACCTCACCCCCAGAGTCTGAAGAGATGGGGTGGGAGAGGCAGGAAGGGAGGGGAAAAGATATTGCACCAGGAGAAAGGAGACGTGGATCCCTGAGCTGAAGCCTTCATCTCCCCTTCTGTAAAAGGAGGAAGCTGAAATGGTCTAGAACTTTCTTCCCTCTTTCATAAGCTGTATTTCTCTAAAAAGAGGCAGAAAGGATTTATTGCTCAGGCTCCCTCTCCAGTTACGTGCAGGACAGGCAGAGTGATTCCCATAGCTATCTTGGGCCCGCCCTCAAACGCAATCTGCAAACCCCCATTTCTCGGGGGGATCCGATAGGAAGACAGGCATGAGAACAGTTTATTTAGTCCCTCATCCACCTGCTCCCACTTGCCATTGGAGAAGCTAGCAGCAGCCTTAGAGTAATATTTTTTGGATGAATTATTATTGGGATTTTTATCTTAGAAGAATATTTTGAGATGTTCATGTTAATGTGTGCACCCTTAAACACATATGTAGTTGTGGAGTAGAAGACCCTGGTGATAAAAGCTGCTCTGGGCAGGTTTACAGATGTTTATCTCAGTCCAAAGTTTCCCCAGCATCCTCAACACCTTTGAGAACTACACCCTGACCGCCCCCTTGTGAAAGTGTGTGTGTGTGTGTGTGTGTGTGTGTGTGTCCTGAGTCAGCTAAGGTTGACTACCTTGGTTGGGCCTTTTGTGTTTCTTCCTCAGTGAGCCAAAGGTAAGCTATCATTACAGGAAGAAATGTGTCAATCAGGAATAACTCATTTTATTAGTAGAAAGTCATTGAAAACCCATTCTTTTTTGTGTGAGCACAGGGGCCCGCAGGCAGGAAAGGAATCTCAGAACAGAGTGGGGAGAAAACCAGACTACTACTAAAGACAGAAACCCCCATGTTTGATATGAACCCAGGACTCACACACAGAACCCAGTGCGTGGGCCACCCAGACAGAGCACGTAGGTGTGCATACACATGCACAGCCTTACACGGGCACCGCACAGACCTGCATGATGGCACGCCTGGACACACATGGACCTGAACATCCTCACAGATACATTCAGTGTAGGGCAAAGACTCAGTGTTATGGGTTCAACTTCCCCCCCCCACCCCAAAAAGATATGCTCAAGTCCTAATCCCTGACACCTATGCATGTGACCTTATTTGGAAATAGGGTCTCTGAAGGTGTAAAGAGATTAAGATGAGGTCATACTAGAGTAAGGTGGGCACCAATCCAGTGTAATTTGTGTCCTTATATGAAGAAGACAATTTGGACACAGACAGAGACACAGAGGAAGATGGCCATGTAAAGATGGAGGCAGAAATTGGAGTGACGCTGCCATAAGCCAAGGAACATCTGGGGTCCCCAGAAGCTGGAAGAGGCAAGAGACGATCCTTCCCTCACAACTTCGGAGGGGGCACGGCCCTGCAACACCTTGATTATGGACTTCTAGATCCTGAGCTGTGAGAGAACAAATTTCTGTTGCTTTAAGCTGTCTGGTCTGGAAGGGCACCACAAAGCTATACCACCCAGCTCCTGTTGAGATGCAGATCACCCAGCTCCCAATCCTACCTTGACAAACACCTTGAATCTAAAGTTTGAAGATGGGGAGGAGGTGCTAATTATAACATACGTTAATGAGGTTTTGTATGACAGTAGCACAACTCATAGTATTATACCAAGGAAAAAGGGAATATTTTGACTTATGTAACTAAAAGGTCCGGAAGGTATGACTGCTTCAGGCATCGCTGGGTTTAAAACTTCCACAATGTCAGTAGGGCTCTGTCTATCCATATTATGGGCAGTTGCTCTCCTCATGGTGAGCATGGTAAATACCAGAAGCCTAAGGCTAACGTCTTATCAGATTAGCAATTCCAGGAAAAATAAATTGTCTTTCCCAATAACTTTGGCAGTGTAGTCCTATGGAGGGAACTGATTGGCTGTTTTGGGGTCACATGACCATCCCTGATCCAACTACGGTGGCCAAGGGCACGGGTATTCTGATTGTCCAGGACAGGGTCTTCTGCGCACCTCTAAAGGACAGTGACGGCCCCATCCAAACCACTTGGAGTGGATTCCCCACAGAAGAGAAGGTTATTTTACCAAAAGAAGTGGGGAGGTTGATTCCAGATAGGCAACAAAATAGCAGCCCACTACACAGTCCAAACCCTGACTGCACATCTGACTGTATAAAGCAAATTACTTAATCTAATTATGCATCAGGTAAGAAACCAAGGAAGAGTGACTCCACTCCCTGAACCTCATTATCTTGGTAACCAACTGAGGTAGCAGAGAGCTGTCCTTGTAAAACAAAGGCATAGAGAATGGACAGAAAGAGCAAGCAATAAGGATTACAATTCCACCTCTCCTTTCTCCTCGTCTGGGGCTCCATGACCACATGCTTGTATCATATCACAAGGATGGGCGTCAAGTAGGTGGGCCTTGAGGACACACATTGTGTGGCCTTCTTTCTCCCGCTAACTCCCACCCCAGCACAAACAGCAAATAAGATTACAGAAGCCGCAGAAAGCAGCATTTGGAAATTTAAAAGATAAACGTGCACAGGGTAATTGAATAGCATTCTGCTGAAAAAAACAAGCTCTTGGAGTTCATCATCGAGACTATGCTTTACCAGAGGGGCTATCTCTTGCCTCCCTGTGCAAACCCATCAGCTTTAACCCTTTGGGAGGCTCTGCTAGGGGAAGCCAGATTTTGGCTTTATATGGGGACTCCTTGGAACAGTCTGATGCACTGCCCAAGTGGTAAGTAGGGAGCTCATTGTCCCCGGCAGTGTTCAAGTAGGGGATGGAGGGAAGGAGTGAACCCTGGAATTGCTAATAGGCCTATCAGTGCACCGATTCTGATTCTACCATTTTGATTCTTCAGACTCAACCACTAGGTATCAATGGAGAGCACCCTATATCACCAGCACCAGGCTCAGAACCACAGAATAAAAACACACATAAATAAGTGCTTTTCATATAGGAACTAATTTGATTCTGGCAACAACCATAGAAGGTAAGTACTACTACTCTCCAGATTTTACAGAGGAAGAGACTGAGACACAGAGTGTAAGTAACTTACCCAAGTTCACGTAGCTACTAAGAAGAAGACAGGATTCAGACCCAGCTGACGGAACAAAGAATATAATATCCACATTGATAACACAATCCCCATTCACTTGAATCCGCCATCTTGTTGGGGGAGAGCAGGAAGTCTGGAGGTTTGAAAATGGGGGGATAATGGATGAGATCCAGAGTTGAAGGGCTATCTGACCTTTTTTGTCAAACCTTCACCTCTAAGGCCTAGCCTTTCTCCAGCCACCCTCAGAGGGGGCTGAGGATGGATACTGTCCCCTGAAACCATTACCCACAACAGTGCTGGCAACCGCCCCCTTGCTCCTCCCCCCCCCCAATTCACCTCACTCGCTCCTTTTTTCCCCTTTCTCTGGTTATCGTAATTATTTGGGAATTTACAGAATAATCTGTCACCAAGTCCTCCAGAACAAATTGAATGTCAGGTTTATAAAACAACCTAATAAAACAGATGGCATTACCCACTGGTAAATCTCTTCCCCATTTCCTGCCCCGCACCCTCCCCACTCAGTGTCTCAGAAGCTGACAGATTATCCATTTATAGGCAGATTAATCCTGAACAGTATAAACATGGGGAGAAAATTACACTTTCTTGTCTCCATAATTGATAAGAAGGATGCATTAATCTATAAAGCCCGGAGGAAAGGCCCATCTGTCTGCCCAGGCAGACATGGTGATGTCTGGGAAGGAAGGAGACCCGTCTATCTTTCTGTCTGTCTGCCTGTCTTTTTATCAGAAACCACTTTCCCAGGGGCTCCCCTCCCTCTCTCTCTCTCTGCCTGGCCCCAGAAGCTGGGCAACTACCAATTTAGACAGCCCCATTTTCGTCCATGAGGCAAGGCAGTGTTCAAGGTCTAACGTTTCAGGATTCAAGGCGAGGGCTGTAGGCTCTGCTCTGACACTCCTCTTTCCAGAAGCTCTGACAATTGAGACATCTATTAGCCTCACTGTGGTAATTCCATAAATTTGCCTCAGGTGTCCACTGACTGACTCTTAAGGGGATTCCAAGAAGAATTTGTACAATAAGATTTTGATTCAATTCCCTCCTTACTCTCTACTCTTGCTTTAAAACTTTTTGCAAATGTACACGCTTCTCTTCCCCACCCCACTTCCTCCTCTTGTAGCACCTTCCTGGTAGAAGCAGCTGTGAGGCATTAATTGCCTCCTTGAGGCCTGTCAGAGCTGTCAGGAAATGTCACACTGGCCAAATCCTCTCTCTGCAGAGGCACGGGGGTGGGGGTGGGGAGGCTTCTGAGGAGGCTCTGCTCCAGAAACAACTGTCCCCCTCCCAACTCAGAGACAAGGGTCAGCTATGGACAACAAACACCCCCACCCTCGCACTTACCCTCCACCCCTCCATACCATTTAAAGGATTTAGGGCAGGCTCCTTCTGTCACTGTTCCTGGGATGGCTTGAGTTGGGGATGAATGGACCATAGCAGGTGGATAGATTTATCTAGAGTGGGAGAGAGGGTCCAGGGGAAATCCTGGCAGATCCCAATTTGACCAAAAGGACACTGCTGGGCAGTAGAAACTTGAATGAGAGAGGGAGGAGATAAAAATGAGGATGGGGAGGGAGATAGGCAGAGGATGACCAGAAAATACTGAGGGACCAGGACAAAGGGAAGATAGAATAAAGGAGAAAAAGAAAAGTCTATGGCAAGAGCTTGTAATTCCTGCCTTCAGGATGGGTGGGCATCACTTAGGGTTTGGGAATCACTGTTCCCTTAGCCTCTATTTCACTGCTTTGCTGGGGCACAGTGAAAGTGCTGGCCTCCAGACAAGTGGGTATATTCCCAGTGTGCCCCCCCACTCTAACTTTGTGTGGAGGTATATTAGGTGTCCAGGCTCTGAATGAATCACAGAAACCTCTCATGGGTGTATTTGCTGCACAAACACTTCACACCTCCCCCCACACTCCAGGCTGCAGACTAGCTTTGGCTGGACTGTGGGAGGGAGCACCATAGGCTGAATTGCGGTTGCTCAGGGCCACTTCTCTCTGCTGGGGATTGGTGGACCAGAAATTCTCCCAACAGGTGTCCCAGTCTTTGCCTTTGGACTCCAAGCTCTTTGCACAAATGACACATGCTGCTCCTGGCTGGGTTTTGAGGGTGGCTATCACCAGGGTTTCCCAGACTGAATCCCTGGGGACACTAATGGTGCTTGAGCTGTTCTTTGGATGCCCCAGTTAAGTACATTTGGAAGATGATGAGCTAACAAAGTTAAACAACATCATTTCCTCTGTTTTACTTTTAGTATTTTGTGTTTTCCCTCTTTTTTTCTACTCTGGATAATTTTTCTAGGCTTATTTCTGTGTTTTCTTCTTGCCCTTTATATCATACAGCATTGATTGTGGGTTTGATACAATCCTAGTGAAACTGTAAATACTAACTCATTTTGGTTTCATGCTTTCCTTTTTAAAATAAATGATTAAGTTCTACATATATGTTTTTCAAATTGACAATTATAATTTTAAAGGAAGAGAAAATTAGTGACTCTGACCCCTCGGGTCCTGAAAGCTTGGAGGTAATATCATTTCATTTTCATTTACTAATTTTAATAAAAATCATTGAAACATGAATTGTAAAGTAATGATATGTAAATTATCTAGAGAACCCAACAAAGCACTTAATTTTAGCCCCTTAAATGTAATGATTAATGCTGGATGAACATCTAAGGTTTGAAGGGTTAGTTTTAATAGGTATAAGTTTGGGTGATAAAATAATTTTTTTAACTTATTCTATTTCTAAGAGTCTCAAACTGCTCCAAACAATTAACTTCTTACTGTTTAAAGAGGCATATTTTGTTCCTTTTTAATAGGGAAAACTGGATTTCTGGTTAAGATGGCAGATTAGGTAAATGCTGTGTTTGCATCCTCTCATGAACACATCACAATTTTTCTACTAAACATCATTGAGAATCATCTAAAGTCTAACTGAACAATAGTCCTACAACTAAGGACATACAGAAGATGCCATATTGAGGTTGGTAGGAGAGACAGAGACTCAGAGGACTGGTCCCACACTCCCATGAGGTGGTTAAAAATAAGGAAAGATATATCAGCTGCAGAAATACCCCCCAGAGAAGTGAAGGGTCCCAGCCCCACACCAGGCTTCCCAGCCCAGGGTTCTAGTGCCAGGGAGAATTTAACTTCTGGCTGTGAAAACCAGGGGAGATTATGGCTGAGGGAGATGGAGGGCTGCTGGAGCCCCAGGCACTCCTCTTAAAGGGCCTGCTCATGGACTTACTCACTCATGGACTCACTTGTTTGGGGCAGTAGCTCCAAAGGTGCCAGGGACATATGGGGAGGAACTGAATGGTCTGGCTTTAGGCTGAGGGCTGGAGGGGCAGCTTTCTCAGACAGAAGTGCTGACAGAAGTTATTGTTCCTTTATGAGCCTTCCCCCTTCTAGTGTGCAAACACAAGCGGCTACCATATCAAAGTTTCCATCAACCTGCCTAACACCGTTTGCCCTGCCCTGGTGATTACCTGAGACTCCACCCCATCTAACTTGCAGACACACCCAAGGTGCTTGCAGTGGCTTTTCCATATAAGCGGCCTGTCTTGGCTTATGCTGTAGACTTTCTTAAAATCTCTCAAAGGTTCATAAGCTCCAAACAATCAGCATCTGGTCGTGGTGTGCCCTGTACCTCTTGCTAAGCAGCCCCAAGTCTGGCACTAGCAGCAGCCAATATCAGTTCACAGCTTAGCTTCTCCCAGTCACCTTCAAGCCCATCATGGGTAGCAGCCATCTGTAGATTGCTTTTTGGCTCATGTCAGATGGCCCTCGGCAGAGCATATGCTACAGCTGAACTTGGCTTGTGGTGGGGGCCCTCTTAGGAGGCCCTGGGCCTGCATGTCCAGTGGCCAGCTTTGCACTAAGCCAGAACACCACCTGGCTACCTCTGTGAATGGCAGACCCGAAGAGCAGACTGGGCAGGCACCAGAGCCCTGCTAAAACAAATCCTACTTCATAGGGTCAGCCCTTGCACACCAGCTCCTCCAATGTAGTCATGGCCAATGCTCACAACTAATCAGCCCAAGGGTAAATCCCTCCTACTGACATACAAATAGCAACCAAGACTCAACTATAAAAGGAGTGCACACACAACCCATACAAGGGACACATCTGCGGTTGTGTCCAGGCTCAGGTGACCAGGGAGTCTGCACCACTAGGTCCTACAGGACACATATTACATAAGGTCACTGTACTAAGACTGGGAGACATAGCAGTTCTACCTAGTATATAGAAACAAACACAGGGAGGCAGCAAGAATGGAAAGACAGAGAAACATGTACCAAGTGAAAAAACAGAACAAAGCTCCAGAAAAAGAAATAAACAAAATACAGACAACTAATCCACCAGATGCAGAGTTCAAAACACTGGTTATAAGGATGCTCAATGATTTCAGTGAGAACTTCAACAAAGAGATAGGAAACATAAAAGTGAACATAGAAAACATAAAAAAGAACCAGTCAGAAATGAAGAATACAATAACTGAAATGAAGAATACATTAGTGGAAATCAACAGCACATTAGATGATGCAGAGGATTGAATCAGCAATATATAATAGAAGATAAAGTAGCAGAAAACCCCAATCAGAACAGCAAAAAAAAAAAAAAATCCAAAAAATGAGGACAGTTTAAGGGGCCTCTGGGACAACATCAAGTGTAACAACATTCACCTAATAGGGATATGAGAAGAAGTGAGAGAGAGCAAGAAACTGAAAACCTATTTGAAGAAATAATGACTGAAAACTTCTCTACCCTGGTGAAGGAGACAAACGTACAAGCTAAGGAAGTGCAGAGAATCCCAAACAAGTTGAACCCAAAGAGGCCCACACCAAGACACATCATAATGAAAATGCCACAAGTTAAAGACAGAAAGACAATCTTAAAAACAGCAAGAGAAAAGCAGTTAGTTACCTACAAGGGAGCTCCCGTGAGACTGTCAGCTGACTTCTCAACAGAAACTTTATAGGCTAGAAGAGATTGGCAAAAGATATTCAAAGTGATGAAAAGCGAGGACCTACAACCAAAATTACTCTACCTAGCAAAGCTATCATTTAGAATTGAAGGACAGATCAAGAGCTCCCCCAGACAAGACAAAGCTAAAAGAGTTCATCATCACCAAAGCAGTATTACACAAAATGTTAAAGAGACTTCTTTAAGAAGAAAAAAACAGATAAAAAATATGAATAATAAAATAGCAATAATTCATACCTATCAATTACTTTAAATGTAAATCGATTAAATGCTCCAATTAAAAGGAGGGCAGCTGAATGGGTAAGAAAACAAGACCTTTACATATAATGCATATAAGAGACTCACTTCAGATCAAAAGATACACAGAGACTGAAAGTAAAGGAATGAAAAAAGATATTTCATGAAAATGAAAGTGGAAAAAAAAAAGAAAAAGAAAACTGGAATAGCAGTACTTATGCCAGACAAAATAGACTTTAAAACAAAGATTATAACAAGAGACAAAGAAGGACCCAGTAATCTCTCACTTCTAAATATTTATCCAAAGAAAACCAAAACACTTCTTCAAATGGACATATGCTTCCATGTTAATTGCAGCATTATTTACAATAACCAAGATATGGTGGAAACATGGGTGTCCATCAATGGATGAATGACTAAAGAAGAGGTGGTGCATGTATACAATGGAATATTACACAGACATAAAAAGAATGAAATCCTGTCATCTGCAAAAACATGGGTGGACCTAGAGAGTATAATGTTGAGTGGAGTAAGTCAGACAGAGAAAGAAAAATACCATATGATTTTGCTTATATGTGGAATCCAAAGAACAAAATAAATAAACAAAGAAAACAGAAACAGGGCCGGCCGAGTGGTGCGTTGGTTAAGAGCTGGCTTGGGGCGCCAGAGGGCCCCGGTTCGTATCCCACATGTGAGGGCCAGTGACACTGCCCTCTACAGCTAAGATGCTGAACAACAGCTCAACCTGGAGCTGGGCTGCTGTGAGTCACTGACGACAGCGTAGGCTGCAGTCCTTGCTGCAGTGGGTTACCATGGGCTACCGTGTGTAGTCAGCAGCCAGCGTGAGCGGCCATCCAGAAGCCGGTGACTGATCTGCCTCACCCGGGAAGAGCGCAATGATGGTGCCAACTTGGGCCAGTGAAGCAACATCTTCCACAATTAGACTGAAGAACAAAAGGACAGCAACTTGTCTGTTCCCCTTCCACCAATTCCCCAGTGTTGTTCCCATCCCCCAATTCCCCAATAAAACTCTTTAAAAAAAAAGAAAAAGAAAACAGAAACAAACTCATAGATACAGAACATTTTGAGGATTGCCAGATGGGAAGGGTATTGGGGGCATGGGTGAAAAAGGGGAAGGGATTAAGAAGTACAAATTGGTAGTTACAAAATAGTGATGGGGGTGTAAAGTATAGCATATAGTCAATAATATAGTAATAACTATGTATGGTCTCAGACGGGTACTAGATTTATCGGGGTGAT